TATATATATATATATATATATATAATTATTTGAAAAAATCTCAATTTATTTTCATTCCATACATTTAATTATATAGTCATATATACCATTTATGAAAGTCGTTTACATATATTAATACATCAAAAAATTAACATACATAACATTACATAACATTAGAATTATAGGTAATTAATGTAGATTACATGCAAAATCAATGAAAAAAAAACAAATATTTTTAAGTCATAGAAACAAAATAAATCTATTAGTACATTAAAATAGCTCCTTAAAAATTATATTTGGTAAAATATTTCCCATATAATTAATTATATGTAATATATCTACGTATAAAATTTTTTCAAACAATAAAAGATATAAGCTGTATAGATTATAGTTTTTATATAACAAAATATAAGTTTTAATATTATGAGAAATGTGTATAATAGATATAAAAATTAAATCAACGGAATGCATTAGACAATTTAAGATCATATTTAATTTCAAACAGTCTCTACTTCGAGAGAATCTTAATTTTAGGATTTACTTTGCAAAAACACTCAATTTTAGAAATTGAAATTTTAACTCTTACTTCAAAAGAAGCATCTCCCAACAAATTATTAAAATTATTAAGATCAAAAATGGATAGACAGCTTGTGTACTATCGCCCTTTAAAATCCCCAAGAGAATACTTATACTATATGCCATTCTCGTTCATCATTCATTTGCTCAAACATTTTTCCTTCAAATGATTTGGTTTCTTACATCGGGAGCATATACGGCCTTGTGCCGGGCACATAGATATAGCGTGATCCTTACCGCATCGAAGGCAATCTTTTACAATAGGAACTTGACACAACCACGAAAAATGGTTCGGCTTGCCGCAATTTGTGCACAATTCGCCGAAAGCGAGACAACGTGACTGTACGTGATTCGTTCCGCATTTAGTGCAGTTAGACACGTATTTTATCTTACAATTATCCGTAAAGTGATTGTACCCTTTACAATTGCTACATTGTATTCCATGAGCTGGGCAACGATTTCTACTGTGACAAGTGCCACATCGAGAGCATTCCATCTCAATAGACTCCGAATTAGAAGACGACTGGCCTCCTATATCCTCGAGATTCCTCTGCGACGTAAATTCTTCGCACTGTTTCCAAAATAGCACAATTTTATGAAGATCTAATGATTTTAAGTACGATACCAGATCTTTTCCCTTCGATTGTATAAGAAACATAGCTTTTCCCGTAAAATTGCAATTTTTAATATCTTCTATAATTTTCTCCTTTACAATAATCACGGGATCACTGTGATTGCTTGCTATAGCAAAGAGCTGCAAAAGAAAACCGTTTTACATTTATTTTAAAAAATATATACAAATAAATAATTATCATTTTCTTTAACAATAAATTCTCTTTAATCAATATCTTCATTATAGATTAAACTTATAAAGATGTAAATAATTTATATAATTGTAGATTATATATAAGACAACTAAAAACCATGAAATTTTAATTAATTAAATTTTAAAGATATAAATAGAAATCATTTTCTAGTTTAATTACATTTTTTGTAAATAGCAGTTTTATATAATTAAATATGAGTACAAGATAAATAAAAGACCTAATAATTTTGCAACTTATACTATATTGTGATTTGAATCGTTTTTTAATATATATATTGCAAAAGCGATTTCAATTTACACAATATTGCAACATTATTAAAATTCTAACTTACCATCAAGCTATCAATATACTTGTCGATACTCTCGCTATTTTGTTTCTTTCTAAGTCCGAAAATGAAGTATATATCTAGCTCACGTAATACTGTTTTCAAATCTTTTGTCTGCTGAGCATTTTGAGAAAAATTCTTATATGCTTCTTCTCCAAGCGGTCCAATCAACATTAACAATATAACTGTCCATTGATTCTTATATATTTCTTTAGAATCTTCTTTCTGCAGAAAAGATAAAAATTTCTGTTTCCACGCACACCAACTTCTACCAATGTTATTTTTTGTGACACTTAACGGTGGAAAGTTCTGCATTTTATCAAATAATTCCAATGCTTTAAATTCATTGTTTGCTATAAAAATAATAAATGTAATGTATAGATTGTCATATTAGAATATTGCATCATACTTACCCATGTTTATAATTAATACTTTTTTCTTATTTTTTTTAATTTTTTTTTTCCTTGTATTATATATATATATATATATTTTTTATATTTTTTTATTGATGTACATCAGTATATATATTTTCACTTTGTAATACACTGTGGATGTCAAAATAACTCTGTATATAACTTTTTCCCGTATATTTTTTTATTGGTGGAATCCTTAACGAAATCTTTATTTATCTTTTTACATTTTACCTTAAATTTTAACACCTTAAAAATAAAAAAATTTAATTATATAATAGCAGCAATAGCTAATTATAATTAAATATTTAAGATTGTACAAGAGAAATGTTTTGCTGTAAGAGGATTCAAAGGAAAAATATGCAAATAGAATGTAGTTTTAATATAAAATCAAATATAATTTTGAGATATAACTGTGTGGTAGGAATTGAAAAATATAACTGCGCTGCAATAAAACAGCTTGTCTCTTATTATATTAAGTATTTAAAAGTAGGTTCATATAATATCGATAATAATTAATATCCATAATGAAATAAAGAGTAGAAATCAAATATATTTACAGCTTAAATGCGATTAATATCTACTTTTTTAAATTTTTTTTGCATTAAGAAACATACTCACACAAGTACAAATTCAGATTAGTGTTTCGGGGATTACCTGGAGAACGAGAGAATATATCGTATTACGCATACACGTCACATCTTCGCGTTCGCATATTGCATTAATCGCACTTTAGCATTGTTAATATTTTTTGAAAGAGATATAGTACTGATACAACTTTATCTTGAAATAAATCGATAAAATAAATGCATACATGGGTACCTTATGATAGCTTCTTCGCCTTTTTTACATTTTACATCAGCTCTGTGCTCGCATCGAAGGTCTCTGAGCAGTCTGAGCCCTCTCTAAGGTTCTGTCCAGTTGTCCACTCGGCACTCTCCACTGGGACCATTGGACTGGACTGGACAAGTGAGCATCATGTTCTTGGCCGAGACCGAGCTATACATTTCAAACAGTGTTGCCAAGTTGATTAAAACAAATAAGTTTCGAATAGATCAAATAAATCAGTTAAATATCTTTATACTTATAGAAATATATTTCTAAAAAAAATTAAAATTATATGATTGTTTTGTATTCTCATGTATGGCACACGTGTTTTTATAATGTATATCTCTTTGCAGGAGTTTAATATTTTTGCAGCTTCATGATGTTATTTCAGTCTAATCTTCAATTATTGCAATTTGCATATATTAAAAAATATTTACATCTGATTATCTGAATAGCGTAGTGATTAACAACTTGATTAAAATTTCTGTTTTTAACAGCTATTTCTGTAAATAATTAAATCATCATATGTTTTTTTACATACATTAGATATTACAAAATTATTAGGCGTCCTTTTAAAAATTGCAACGTTTTTTTTTTTAGTAATTCTTTCTTTTCTGCAAAACTCAATCGGCTTTAAGAGACAAAGTAGATGCCAAAATCATATTTAATAATTAATGCTAAATAGGTATTAAAAAATTTTTAATTGAAATTGTTATGTTAATTACTTATGTCTAAAACTGAATAAAATTAAAAAGTAATAACTTTTGTTAACATTTTTTTTTTTATAAAAGAAAAGATTCAAAAATGTTGGAGAGCAAAAACTTAAAGAAACTCTATTTTTCCTATAGTGGTGTCTACAATGAGATTTAAGATTTAAGGTTTAAGAAAATTGATCAATTATTTATCGAATCGATTATTCATTTCACGTGAGAAGAATAATGGATTGTGATTGGTCAATTTTCTTAAACCTTAAGTCTTGAGTCTAATTGTACCTAAACACCGTTTATACTTTATAGCGTCGCATCAAGCCATGCTGATTCATTACAATCTGTCATAAGAAACGATAAGATTAAATGTAATCATATACACTGAATGGCATCCGAGAATAATATATGCAACATTTTTATATTATATGTATGCCTTTATACCACGTTTTAATATATTTATAAAATATTTCTCAGATATATTAAACAATTTTACACGATTACAATTTAAGTAAGAAAATGAAAAGTATAAAGATATTTGTCAGTATAAGAATTAGAAAAATCTTAAGGCATCCTTGAAAAGATTGAAATAAAATAATCCAATTGAATTAAATGACGTAAAAATTGCAAAAATATTTGCACACGTTATCCCAGCAACGTGAGCATTTAACATTCAATATACAACTAATTAATAAAATATATTTGTGTTAATTATAGTGTACACATATAATATTATAATTATAATATTAATAGTCATTTTCAAATTGCAAATATTAATACAATAAATAGAGTTATCGGTAGGAATACAAAATAATACAATTAATTAAAATGAGAATATTTCTTATGTTTCGTATGTTAATACATTTATTAATTTATTAATTATAAAGTAAAGAAAAGAAAAAGCACAGACGTAATACGAAAAACTGAATAAACAGATTAAATTAGAAGGATTAGATCAGTGGAGAGGTTACAGGTTTCTGTGGCAATGGAAAAAGAAGTTATATAAGAGATCTCTTTAATACAACTTTTTTATCTGTAGGTGATATTTAAACTTACGAATAATTTTTGTATAATAAATAAATTTTCGCTTTCGGAAATGTTTATCGGAAAAATACAAACAGCATGCAAGAGATATAAATATTTTCTTTTTCGTGCAGCTGTACAACATACGCTCTCAAAATTAAAAAATCGCAAAACTTGCGGGAAACGGAAATAAATGAGTTTCAAACAGAATAAATATTTTTGCTATATAATCGAGTTCGCAATGCAAATTTCGTTGCGGCACAATTATTACGTTATGATATAATCTACAATTTTATCGCGTGGTAAATGAAAAAAAAAATCTGCGAGGGGTCAATTAGTCATGGAAGTATAGTCTCGCGACTTCTTCTGCTTCTGCTTGCGGCGAAGGCGTGGTTTATACAAACAATTATTTTAATGTATGCCTCTTTAATTAAGACACGTAACCGTGTCGGCAGGAATATTATGCTCTACAGGATAGAATCATCACGCATTCCGTGTTGTTCTCTAATATCCATGTTTGACTTGGCAATATTATTTATCATGTTGCTTTTATGTTTACTAATTCAATCTACTCTTAAAATTGTATTGTAACAGCTAAATTTACATGACGACAAGCGAGGTTGCCATGGCTCGTTATAAAATTATTTTAGATTAATTATTGTGTTTTAGATCGTGGACCCATATGTCTCATTGTTTTATTTTATTGAGGAATTAATTTTTTCTCAGTGTAAAAAAATATGGAAATCTTTATAATTTTCAATTTTAAGTTTTTCTTAACTTTAATTATAAAAATTAAAAATAGTTAATCTAAACATAAATTTTAGAAAATACATTAAATAAGTTAAATGTCCTTGTTTTTAAAAACTTAAAAATTTCAAAACTTACTCATTATATTGTATGTATGTTATAATATGTATAACAACATAATTAATATTATAATTTTATGAAGCATATATCGTTCTACGATTTTTTTTATTGGAATAGAATTTTATATGTATATAAATATTTAGTTTATTTTTTCCAAACAATTTTTCTTCAATACAAAGTCTTTTAATCCGTATCAATACATCATATTTGCCGTAATACATCAGAAATGCATCCCAACTACATACTATCCAAAGTGAAACTCTTCATTAATTTCGCAGCTCGTCCATGTCACGGATTAGCCGCTATTTGCCACTTCAAACGAAATCTCAATTTCCCAAAGTCACCGGGTTCTCTCCTCTCGACCGGCCCTGGCCTCGCGGGTCGATAAAGCCTCTCACTCTCTCCCGCTTCCTCACATCGCGCATCCTCCACGAGGGACGAGGTGGACGAGGTACGGCCGAGTAGGACGGAAAATCGCGGAGTTCTGTCAGTGGCCTCTCGGACACGGTAGCATCGAAAGTGGAGAACGTCTACGGTAGAGCCGTTCCTCCTCGCCTCGAGGCTCTGCCGCGCGCACGGAGATCCGCACGGTAATTAATTAGACCGCGAAGCGCGGATCTCGCGGACTCGCGTAGCGTTGGTGTGCGCGAAAAATGCGACGGATATAGTGGAGACGCATCCTGTTCCAAGCCACGCTCGACGTACACCGTCGACGTACCGTGACGTTCGTGTGCGTTCACGTGTCGAACATCGCAAGACGTCAAACTGAACGTTCGATCGGTTCTTTTTCTCAAACGCGCCTCTTCTCGCACGAGAGAAAAATACGCAGTTATTCTCATACCGGGTTTTACCGCGTACCTGTGGATGTACCGTTTCTCCCAGCATCCCCGAAAGACACCCGGGAAAACGTTCGGCGTGTGACACCCTCTTAGCATGACGGATCACGAGGTGTCATCTGTGCCAAATAAGTCAATTCCAAAAGAGCATGGCGAGCAATATATATCCTTTGTTCCTCAATGTTAGTCAATTTTCTTATCCCACCCTTCTTTAATTCTTTATCCCCTTCAGCACTCGACACTCGGCGACAATCGATGTTAGCTTGATGAGAACGGGGTTCTTTGAAAAACACGTTTAAGGGATCCGATAAGGGGATGTAGTCGACATCGACATTGCGCGTTAACGCGGGTCTCCTTACAAGCTTGTTCCACAGCTTATTTTACACAAGAGTATCTAAAGTTTCCCGCATTTTTTTTTTCATCTCTTTCAATCTGATCAATCCTATAATCATCTTCTTTTTAACACTTGAGCACTGGCGCGTTGGGATTGATGTTATTTCACGTAAAGTAACATCAATTTTCACAAAGAAATGTTGGAACATTCCTATAATTCCAAAATTACAAGCAATTAAAAAAAGTCTTATACCAAAAAGTGGAAATAAATTAAAGAAACTTTATTTAATTTTTAAGTTAAATCTAGATAAACTAAACTTAATTAGCGAAAATTAAAATGTCACTAATTTCCATAATTTTAAATCACTTTTGAAACAGATTAACATATCTAATAATTGATTAAAATATCAAAATAAAAATAATAGAATCCTTATTAAATAGAATCCTTTTTTTAAATTATTTTCTTTATATTAGAAGAGCATAGTTTCTACAGAAAAAGTTGATCAATTTTCGAATGTCTTAAAAAGAAGGCTATTACCTAATATTCTTGTTAAAAAAATATTGTCGTGATCTAAGAGTCGTGAATGAAAGCACTCTAAGAAACCCGCTATAAATAATTCCGAAAGATTTTTGTAGTTGACCGACAACTTGAGCGAATTATTAAAACCGAATTAATTGAGAGTGTATCGCGTGACATTCTTCACTGCAACTGCTGGCAAATTGCAATTTTATACAGCTTCGTCTCTGTGCTTTGGCACATGCCGAGGGATTTGATCGTTTTTTTTTGCTTCGCAGAAAAATAGTAATGAGCAGCAGGTCACGAGCTGCCAGGAGTATACAAATCCGTATTGTGCTCTCATATCTATTGTTAGATACGGGTATTTAATTCGCATGACATTGACTGCGATTCACAGCAACCAAACAAAGCTAAAAGTCGGACGAGCCGCACCTGGCATTAAATGCGGGATACAAATGCGGACTGTGTGTAAAGTCGAGTAGAACATATGCCCGCGAAAATGGAGCTATTCGTCTTTTCTTTAACCCTCGAGTATTTGTATGGAATATTGATGATATCTCACGTGAAATATCTACAAAATTTAACTCAATTTTTCATAAAATAAAATGGGATAAAATATTTTCATAATATTTAGTTTTACTATCATAGTAAAAGTGTGAAATGCGGTGAATATTAATGTAAAAGTAGTGCAGTAAACATGTTATCTTTTTAAATACAAATATGATCTTTAATATTCATATAACATGATATATATGATAATAGGATCTTGAATATACATACATCCTATAAACCAAAGTTACGAAATTATGTGTTAATGTTTCAAAATCAAAATAAAAAGATATATGTATGCATATAATTTGTTAACGTAAGTATCACCGTTCACTTCTCTTTTAATTTTGAAGACTAACATAAATAAGTTGTTTACAAGCGCAACGTCTCCATTTACATTGCCGGTCACTTTAGCTGCCGTTAATAACGAGCAATAATTAATATAAAAAGCTCGAGGATGCAGAGGTTTGTGAAAGTTTTTTAATCAGACACACTATCGATCCTGACCGCCCGAAGATTCGTTCGCGCGTTTTAACTTGCACTCGCTCACCTCGGAGAACTTATTAAATCTATAGCGAACAAACGGATGAAGACTTAAATCTGAAACGAAAACATTGCTCACTGAACAAACGCGAGTGACCGGTGCACTGAGACGAAACTGATAGCGCTGAAACACCGCGAGGTTGTGTAGGTTTATCGCCTACGTCGCAGGTCACCGCAAGTTTCCGCGAGCAATTACGCCGCTAAAATAACTCGCACGGGCGAAGATGATCTAAGAAATTAAGCTTGTTTATAGAGTACGATCCGGAGTACGAGCCGGAATCGCGGCAAAACCGGAGGGAGGAACGCCTCGCGCGAAAACGCATCGAAAATGTACAATAATATTGTTTTCATACGAGACATTCTTTTCGAGAAAATTGATTCTGCGGGGACTTGAGAGTTAATAATACCTTGTATCTTTTTAAAAGATCTTCAATAAGCTTGTATAACATTGTGTCGCACACTGACGGATATTAAGAAAAATAATAAGAGAATAAACTATTGTTCTTTCTTTCTCAATAAAAAATTGTTTTCATCATTGAAAAAGGTTCTGAAAAGGAGAGACCTGAAAAGGAATTCATTTCATTTCGAACGAGACTAGACCGGCGAAAAATAGACCTATATGAATATTGAGACCCTTGAATGAAGAATATGGTTTTTGTAAGACTGCCTCTGTGCTTTGACTTTTAAAAGAGATCTACTAAATGTCAAAAAAACATAGTTTAAAGAGCACACTTGTCGGTTTTATATTTTCCATTTCTAAGATAATCCGGGCGTTATCTAAAATATTACAAGCCTTTGAAATTTTAACGCGCTTTTTATCGAGATTTTATTCAGATATATTTTTATTATTGAGTCTGGCTAAAATTACGTGATCAGATTAGATGACACAAATGCAATTTATAGAAGCGACTGATGTTATCAAACTGTTGAAATATGCATTAATAAAGTTGGCGTTCGTATTTTCGTTGTAGTTTATTGGCGAAGACTTTTAAAGCCCGCTCGAAAACAACTCCATAATTGAGATTGACACAGAACACAAATTAAATTGAGGCAAATAAAAGTCAAATATAAAGAAATAACGAATATTCCCGCAATATATTTCAACTCACGTTTTCAAATGGTTAAATTTACTCAATTAATTGCGTTTAAGTTTTCGGTTGTTCATCAAGTTAAGAAACTAAAGTAATGGTTCAGTAGTTTTTTCTTTGAAGAAGAAGCGCAATGCACTTTAAACTTACATTTATTTAAATTTAGCAATTCAATGGTATAAAAAAATAAGATTTGCCTTCTTGCAAAATTTTTACGACTCTACACTCTCTAATTTAAATTACAAATATTTAACTAACGGGAATTTATTCTCCTGATTTGGTTATTTTTACATTTCAAATATATATAGTAAACTATTTTTTTTATTTTACGCAATCAAAGATTACTGCAATTTTGCTCCTCGAACTCTTGTGAAATTAAAGTGTTATGTGCCGTATATAACGTATCCAGTAACATGCAATTACGCGTGGAGAAGCGTAGTTAGTAGTTAGTAATGCGTGTTGGCGGTCATTGCGATTAAACCTGTGCGACAGTGTGGCGTGTTTTCTATCGATAGTGTTGCATATCGATCGATATGCTTCAACCCTCTGACGAATTTTTATGGCTTTACGCCGATTTACCTCTGGAAAATGTCCAGAATTTCTTGCGACGTAAGAACATAGTCATATCTTTTGCAATATCCGCGTCCCAAAATTATGCTTAAATAAAAGAAATTTGCACACAATTTTGAATTGCAGTTGGTTTAAGTACGGACGGATTGATTCGTCCTATCATACGTTTGAAATCGTTCGTGATATTTCGAACAATGTGTTAAGTCTCATTAAAGTTTTCATTGATGATTCGGAAACAACATTCTAACTTTACTAATTTAACTTTAAGCGGATTACGTTCTCGCGCGCGGTGAAGTTACAGAAGTGGCATAAATTTCTTCAAAGTACACGCTGATATCTTTCATTATTTATTTCACGGCGGTAACGTAAAGTTCATGGGAAGCATTGTAAGTGCTGATCAAATCGCTTACTTTGTCGTTTACTTTGAATTTCATAGACAAATAAATTTCATCAATTTATCCGTTCCATTTGCAATCTTAATTTTAACAATACTCTTTCGATGAATTGGCAATAGTTTCTTCTTTAACAAAAAGTATCAGGTACGTTTGTAATGTCTCAGTTACATGTTTAAAAAAAAGAATTACCTTTGTAAATTCAAAAGATTGAATAAATGACAAACTCTTATTCTGCAGTTAATTTCAAATTGACTTTATTTTAATAGAAAAAAATTTCAACTGGTGCAGGTGGCTTCATTACGAAGAGTATACTAATAGTACTGATTGAAAACTGGAAATTATTATGTGATAAACGTTACCATTACTTTGGTATTTTCACTGAGATATTATGACAAATTTTGAAAATCTGTTATTAAAATTAGCAGCAAGTTGTGTGGGTTGAGCTACTCCTTTATTATGTCGCCTCAGACTTTGATGCCAAATTTCCATGTTGTACCGTGAAATTTGCTGTATAATATACATGTAAATATACAAGAGGTTGTATGACGTCCTCCGTCCGTGTTATCATTCATTCAAAAGTTACCTAAGTTTTCCCGAAATTTGCTCAAATTTTGTGCTAATTGAATTCTACGGCAAACGTCGGAAATCCCAGACCAGACGTAATTGTCGTATTTCCGAGTTTAATTGTAATCGCAAAATACCGCCGCGTAAGCCAGAGATAAACAACAGCAGTTTCCATTACAATTCTGGATTTAATAATCGATGATATGTTTGGTCAATAAGCAAACGATGTTTATTTACGAATAATTTAAGATTTTAAATAACTATGAAAATATTAAATACGCTGTCGTATAAAACGCAATAAATAGAAATAAAATTTAATTTTTTTATAATTATATTATAAAAGGATTATATATCTAATCGCAATTATAGGCACAGATTATATATTTTATTATATATATTGCTTTTATCTTTTGTTTAATAAAATATACTTTCTATATAGAATATTTTATACTTTGTACATAAACTCCTTGAAGAGTGTGTAAATTTTTAAGAGCGAAATTTTTTCAACGAGAATTGAACCTTGCATGAAAAAAATTGTATTCCATGGTTTCCATTTATTTTTGTATGTAGAATTATCTTTACTTTACTCCTACAGCTATAAAACAATTTAAATTTTACCAAACGCCAGTATATTCGTCGCTCCAAATGACTTTTTTAATTTAGCGCCCAACACTCCTACTCGTAAAACAGGGAATGTCTCCTATTTTCCTGACATACAACAATACAGCAACAATTAACGTAGAAAGCTCTTTAATGCCTGCCGTTAAAAACGGCGGTGGGGTCGACGGAAAGGGGAAAGTCTCTCGGGACCCAACTTTAGCTTCGCATTAAAATACACGCTATAGGGCTTGCACAGCCAATCAATATTTACAAGAAGAAAAGGAAACTCTGATTATGATGCTGCAGAAGTCGTTGACATCGCAACCGGGGATCACGTGGACACTGCGAAGTCGGAATATGTGCCGGTCGGTCGACGCTGCTGGGTCTCATTAATCCTTCGGCGGAAACATGCTATCGGAATGCGGCGGGCTGGTGCACTTCAAGAAGAGACTAAAGCCTTGCATGCAACGGTCTCGAGAACTAATTCGCGTTTTCGGAGGATAAGATGAGCAAAAGTGTGGAGTTACTCGCTGGATCGGAGGACAGTGAGCCAACAACTACGAGTGAGTAATATTGTAATATTACATGCGTTAAATGAACCGTGTTTTTGTGAAAGTAATTGATATATTAGTGTAATAGCTGTGAATCGATTTATTTTTTAAATAACTCCTTTCAATTTAACAAGAATTATTGGGTCTTTTTAATAATAAAAAATCTTTCAAAAATTAATAAGAAAATATAAAACATTATATGTATAATGCTGCGATCAAAAATGATTTGCGTTCAATGTAATTTCCTAAGAGCTTGATAAAAGCTGGACACTGTTAACTCTGCTGCATTTTTCCTTTTTCTAAATAATTGGAATAATTTATTTAGCGATATTCAAATATTTCTTACTTGTTTGGATAATCTGCGGAATCTTGTGACTATAAACTTGTAATATCAACAATTTTTATTTCAATGTTCGATAAAATGACTATCGGATTCCTCCTATCTTGAGGACATGATCGACAGATGCAATGTGCCAGCTAGATAACTGGAATGCCAGATTGATTTCCGTGATACATTAGCCTGTTAAGAGGATTTCCGGCGAAAGGAAGACAAAATCCAATAAACGGGGAATACATTTGCCTTCTACACTTCCGGAATTTCACGTCCAGAATGCACGAGTGCGTGATTTCGTATTACATCGCACATTTCTGCTAACGGAAACTCGACTGCACAATTAACACAGAATTTAATTAAAATAACGGTCACATCGGGAGTATTCTGCAAATCAAATTTACGTCAAGACGTTATAATTGCGTTTTTATTGTTTTCTTGCAAGTCCAATAAAACTAATGAAAGTAGACATTTTAATTTTAATATAATTCTTAATAATTCTTTTTTAATACGAAAAGTATTCTTTAATAAATAAATAAATACAGTGCTATATTTGTTATAATTAAAAGTCGGAAATTTCTATCGATTGCGCGACACATCGTTCCTGAAATATAATAGAAAGTACACTAAGCCTTTTAAAGACATTGTGATGCGTATTATTATGTGTTTAATAATACAGACGGATCGATATGCTTACATGTGAGTACATATAATGTACTTCCCTTGTAATTCTTCTAAAAGCATTGGGTATTTTTCTCTATATCCATCCAAAGTCCAAGCTTACTCGGTTTCTGTTCTGTTACATCGGCATGCTTTCAATTCGGCAAGGGTGAAAAATACTTGTTATATAAGCTAGCGCTTTCTTTATCAAATACGTAACAAAACTGGATTGAGTAAAATAGAAATTATATAAGTACAAATTACATTATATAAGTACAACATACAGATAAATAAATAAATTATAAGTAGCAAATTTTAATTAATATTCTTTTTTCTTAAATATTTTCTAAATATAAAAAATAAAAAATATTAATTCTAAAATGTTTAGAATTTGGACAATATACATATAAATAAATATATTATACATAAATATATATATATATGTATATATATATATAATTAATAAAATGGATTAATTATTTTAGAAATGGTTAGACATAATAACAGTCCATTATTTATCCTACTTGAAAAATATTGAAATATTACGATGACTTTTGCTGTCACAGATGTCAAAAAGTTAAAATATCACCTTAAAATGATTTAATAATCCTTTATGTTTGACATACATATGATTACTTCATCTTGAAATATATATTTATATGGCATGAACAAAGAAAAAGACAGTTGTAACCACTATTGTCGTCCAAGTAAGAGCCTGGAGTAAAATATTCAATATATCGGAATACGCATCAATATTGATACCTACCAAATATTTTCAAATCATGTTTGATATCTATCTCTCCCTTAAAAAGTCACACAACTACCGCTGCCAAAAATGTTATCTAAAAATATTGCATACACTATAGACACTTTATACAACATTTTGTTGTTTTGCATTTAATAATAAAAAATAAATTGAAACATTTAATAATAAAACTATCATTTACTTAATTTGTTCTTTCAAGATATTAAAATATCATATCTCTTTAAAAATCTGGATTTATGTTCGTTTTTTATAAGAGATTATCTAAAAAGTACGAATTTGATATAAACAATAGAGAATATTTTCTATAGATATGCAGCAGACAAATTTTCTAAAATATGGACTTCTAAAATATGGTTGGAAATAAACTCTTCGATTAAATGCACTCAATTAACACAGATTGCAGCAAAGTAGATAGATGTAAATTGTCTCGTATAAATGGAGTTGTGTACAGTGATGGATACAAGGGGGGGAAGCGGAGAGGGCGATCGCCCCCCAGAACTCTCCAAATAAATTTCGTATATTGGAAAAAGTCGGTTTTAAATGAATTGAGAAAAAAAATTATCAGATTATTCGAGACTAAATAATGTTCACTCATACCACGTCGCGATTGCCCACACGTTGCAATTGGGTACGTTACGATTGCCCGCGTTACGATTGACTACGCGTTGCAATTGGCCACGTTGCGATTGCCCACGCGTTGCGATTGACCACGTCGCGATTACCTCTTCAAACAAATTTCGTATATTGGAAAAAATCGGTTTTAAATGAATTGAGAAAAAAAATTATCAGAGATTATTCGAGATTAAATAATGTTAACTCAATTCTTTTTAATAATAAAAAATATTAAAAATAACATTAACGACAATAATAACTAAATATTCACATTTCATCATACCGCCCCCCATCCCTCAAAACAACTCTCTGGATCCGTTACTGATTGTATAATTATTACACAACTTCCTTTATCCGTTCCATTAGAGCTTATTGAGAAGAGTATCTGTTAAATCATCCGTGCACGCTAAGTCATCAAAAGTTGTTTGTACTTTGTTTTATTCAAATTTTATTCAAATTTTTTCGCCACATGGTAAAAGTTTGCCGCGACAACGCCGGCAAAACTTTTCTTCTCCGTTGCATGCAACTCGGTGCCGCGATACTCAATAGAGAATTGCATTTCGACTTGCAGGTAACACCAGCGCCCAAGAAAGAGCCAGACTGAACTTAAACGGGAGCCGTCAGCTCTCGAAAAGCGCCACGGAGCTCCGGGACAGCGAGATCGCGAATAGCTCGCCGTCGAGGCGGGGCGATGGATCGGGCGAGTCCGGCATCGTCCATCATCGGCATCATCGGCACCACGGCACGGTGGCCCAACGCACCCACACTTTCTTCGCGACCCTGAAGAGTCGCTGGGCACGCAGCAGGAGCAAGGAGCGGAAGAAGTCCAAGGATGCCGGTAGCGTGCTGTCGCAGGACGCAAGCCAGAAGAATCTCGGCGTCGAGTCCGATTACGCCGCCGATTACTCTTCCGAGCACAGCAGAAGTTCCTCGGCCACTCAGAGCCCGGCCCGGCACTGCCTCAACCGCCCAGGTGAGCGATTGCACCTCTGACCGATATTCCACTGACTTATGCTAAATTTACCGGATCTAGAGTAAAAGAACAGATATTATCTTTAATTGAAGTAACTAATAAAAAAAAATGAAGAAAATTAGAAAAAGAAATACAAGAGATTAAAAAGCAATGTAAATGCTACTGCATGTGCGCCGATGACCTGGTTGTAAAGTTTTCTCTATATCTGATAGCCTCCATATCTACATATTGCATATCTACGACCTTGCGTGGTCTGATTTTCAAATAGAACGCAAACTTTGATTTATCTTTACATTCCTTCCTTTTTATATCATCCAGTTACATAAAACAAATGTAAAAGCCATTGCCTAAAAAATTGATAAAAATATCTCTCTTCAAAATATTATTAATAAAACGGTTAAAAAAATCTTTAATTAATTATTCATTAAGTAGGAAAAAGCAACCTGGAAATTAAGAAATACGTAAAGCACATAAAAAAATTAATTTAAAACCTTAAAATTTTAATATGTATAACGATAATATCTATTATTACACGCAAATGGCAATAAAATTTTCAAGAATTACGTTATATAATACCTACAACGTACAATCTATACATATACGGAAAACTTTATCGCGCAATGTTCTCGTGACATGATAATTGCGTACGCACAGAGTTCTGACATATCCGTATATGCAGCTATGTATCATGAATTGGATCACTGCTGTCATGCAATGAAGTATTAAGTAGCGTTGTTTGCATCGTTTGCAGCAACACTTTTCAGTCAATATTTAACAAAAAATAAATGCGTCGTCTCGAGTTGAGTATCGCCATTTAGTATCGCAAGAAGAATCGAGTCATTTTCATAAATGTTCATATCTATAAGGATTAAAGATAAGGATATAAGGAT